CACGCATTTTTTTGGGACATTAAAACCGTCCAAAAATCCGCAATTTGTTGCCTGCGCAAACAAACCCCAATATATTCAGGTGCCTTAGTTATACAGGGTGGCTGATTAAAGTGTAAACCACCCTGTATAGCTCCAAACGATGCAATAAGCGCTTTCTTGAGACTTTTGAGTTTCGGTTGGCCTGTTGATTGTTAGCAGTGGCTTGCGGGTGTGGTTAAGGGCGGTAGCCCCTATGGGGCTGGTCAATGCCAATGCAGCAAACATAGAAATTCCTTGCTACGCCACTGATTTTTTGGGCAGTTTGCGCAACGGGCTTGCTTTCGATGCAAACCCCTAAACGCATTAAAGTCGCCACTTTTTTGTTCCAAATAAAACCTTTTTATTTGTAAACGGTGTTCTAATTAAACAGGCTGCCCTCGTATACGGGGCAAGAGGGCTGATCTTTCATCTGCCCTCTCTCTCCTCAGCACAGCGCCGCGAATAGTCGATAACGGTCAAATGCGGCAGTCGCGCTACCGGGGACCATCCAAAACTAGGGCTCAACGCGCCAAATGCGTTTTAATCGAAAACCAGTTAGGTTATTTATGGCGTTCAACCTGCGGTTGGGTAATTCAACGAATTTTGGACATTTCCATCCGACCACCATACAATGAAGTTCACCTTCACAGCCATATACACCGTGGCCTAAATAATCGGCTAATCGAGCAGATATACGGCATCGGACCTTGAGAGCGCGCATCGAAGCCGAATGGTTCACCGGACTGGCTAAATGAAAACAAACTTGGAGTCAAGGTTCTCGGTCGTACTCTAATTTTTTGCCGATAATTGTTTTACAAAGAACCTCGGCTATTTTCAGGGCTATCGGGTTGAAGTCGCTTTGAACGATGCACACGCAAAATTCGGCAGCATTTGCTTTTATTTCGGCACCAGTCAGGTCCAGTCGGGCTTCGGATGTCTTACAGGAATAGTGCGCGATTTGGGTCAAATTTGCCTTGTTAATTGATTTGTTTGCTGCTGTTTTTACTGGCTACAATTATGGAGCAAACCAGTGAATTCGACTGCAAGGAAATTACCAGCATTAAAGGTGAGTGTTTTTCGGTTTTATTGGCGTCTAGGCTGATTTTTCTGGGTTGGGGTTTTTTCAACGCACAGCAGCTATTCGGAAAATCTCTGGGCTCAAGCTTTGGCCAATACAAGGAGTTTTTAATGAGTCTTAAACAATTGCCGAAAACTGGCGCATTTTCCAATGATAGGTCGCGGTTGTTTAAGGCAACGCGCTTAGTTAAGAAATAATCGTCGCGGTCTACCCTCGTATACTGGTCAAGGAGAGAAGGACAGAGCTGATCTTCATAGGGCCGTCCCGCTCCCACCCGTAATGCGTGCTTCACTTCAGTCGCTACGAATCACCTAGTTGCGTTACAGGGGGCGATTGATAAGTTTCAATGATTTGGTTAATTTAAAGCGACTAACCAGTCGACCAATTGTTAACTTGCAACAATGGGCCTGGTATCGGGGTTATCAGAAGAATAACGTGTGCTTAGCATGCAAAATAATCTCTATTGTTCCACCGCAGCAATTGCAAAAGCTCGCTGATAAAACCTTTGTTTTGTTATCTGTGTGGATACTTAAGGCTTGAGATTAGATTTCCATCGGCATCACATTGAAGAGCCACTAATTCCAGCTAAATGCACCTAAAATAGAGCATCAGCGAGATTCCGTTATTTATCTGGCCTAGAATGATCTGTCGATTGAAGAAGTCGTTTTTCTGTGCAGTTTAAGTGGCGATTGGTTGCGCCAAAGCGTTTAATGACTTTGATATTGATGAATTGAGTGTGTCATCGATAAATAGATGATTAGTTCGCAAGCGGCGCCGTCATGAGGAGAGTTGGAGTGAGAAGTGGTGAGTAGAGAGGACAATTTGCACCCGTAGCGAGGCAATAGGGGGGCTGATGATCCGTTTCTCCATCCACAGATGCGCCTCAAAAACACCACATCGAGCTCCTCCACTATCGGCAGAAATCCAACTGGGACTGCGGTGTTTCCTGTGTGCTGATGGTGCTGCCCAACAAACATCGCCAACATTTAACGAAAAACTTGAGCAAAATATGCAGGAGCGAGGGATTCAACAAGAGGTGAGCGCCCAAAAAAATCGTCAATTCAAACCTTTCCACCACCTCAATCAATCTGCAGCACTTGGACCATAGATCTTTGCTACCTACTGAAAAAATACGAGGTTCAGCATGTGTTCTACACGGTCACCATTGGCGTGCATGAGGGCTATCGAGCAAACAGCTTCTACCACCAGATATTAACCAAGGCAAGTAGCTCATTGTAAAAGTGAGTTTCAATTCGTGAATCTGCAGTGACCGCTTCCAGGATGAAAATCGCGTGAAAGTGAAATTTCGCGACGCCTCAAAGAACAAGATTCCGGTCAGGAAGGCCTCAATCTCGATCCTCCACATCATAGAGCAACTACTCAATGGCCCGATCATCATCCTCACAAACGCCCGACTACTTTACTGTGATATTTGCAAGTCCAACAAGATATCGAATGAACTCAGAAAATGCCTCCCTTGGCCCACCACTTACCAGGGCCATTACATAGTGCTATGCGGATATGATATTGAACGACAGAGAGTGTTTTATCGCAATCCTTCGTTTGGCGATCGTAAGTATGCTTCAAATGAAGAAGCGCAGCGCGAAGTGCTTAAGAAGGGTGGTTTTTGCAGATGTATGTGCCATGTCGGTGTCCACTTTGGAAGAAGCGCGTAAAAGCTACGGGACTGATGAGGACGTAATTTTTATATACAAATAGGGGCACTTTTTATGCAAAAATCCTTCTTTACCTGAGAGGCATGCAAGCAACTTCAGTGATTTACGCAATAAGGAACATTTTATATAATGTAACTCAAGAAAAGACTGAATCAAATTCCACGTGTGAAATGCGGCATCTAGCAGATATAGAATTTGATGGGCGCGTGTAATTGCGTTTAAACTTACTTAAATAAACTGGGTGATTCAAACGCAGAGCTTTTCCTTCTTCAAATCAAATTCATTCCTGGGTTTCAGTCATTTATTGCCTCTATTTATCAATCAAAATACGTTTCGGTGTATTTTTCCACCATCATCAGTTTTTA